CACGGTGAAATGGCTGGGACTAAGAGGAAGCGCCAAACACTTCACAGTTGGGGGCAGAACAGCAAAAGAATAGAAAATGCCCCCTTTACCTTTGTTATTTTTCTGGCTTTCGCAGATAAGCACTTATTTCCTGTAGTATTTGGACCTTAAAGAAACTGTGTAGTATAAGATAGAATTTTAAGTGCCTGATCTTGACAATTCCCTGATATTGCAGCTAATTTCAGAATAGCCAAAATTTTGTTGTTCTTCATTTCCGCCTGTGTTTCATTTCATTTGGTTTCTTTTTCAGTGGTGACTGTAAATGCCAAGTTGTTGGAAGGCATCTTACCTGTCTTTTTTCAAGTCATAACTTTTATATAAAAAAGCAGATTTAAACTAATTTGCCACCTGGCTCATTTTGGTATTCCCATCTCACTTTAGAGTTCTTTACAGGTTCTTGTATTCACATTTCCTTTCCAATGAAGATGTGCTAATTTGCTAGTCTTGTATTTAGTCCATGTAAATTTTACATAATTCTATTGGCCGGAAGAATTTCTTCAACCTTAATGCTTTTTTTTTTTTTCATGTTTGATAAGTTTTTCTTGAGGAAGGGATGAGCTGTTGAATATTTTTCTGCTTGCTTTTCCAAAGTGTATTTTTAAAAATTAGTTGGGGGTTTATCTTAATACATCTGTTTTAAGCAATTTAAAGTGAAATTTCTATTTGGCATTTGTATACAGATTGCAACATTTTTAAAACAACACAATGTACAATATCCTGGCAATCTCATTTTGAAAAGGCAGCTGAAAAGAATAGTGTTCCTTGATTAACAGAAATCCAGATTCCTCTTAGTTACCTGGAAGTACACACAATCTGTTTAAATCTTACTTATATTATAATATTTTAATAGATTTTTATTCCATTGCCAGTATTTTTACTTACTTTACTTAGTTGACCATCTGAAAAGAATAATGTTTCTTATAGTATTAAATTAACAAAGAAAACTCAATAAAGGATTTTGTTTTATTTTTATTTAGAATGACAGTATTTTTAAAAATGAGTTTAAATAGCTGGCATTTTTACTCATATATCATTATGCATCTACAATCACAATAGTTGATAATATTAATCCCTGTTATAATAGCTGATGGTTCTTATTGCTTACTAAACTATGATATATATCAGTCAAATAAAGACATTAGATGAGAAACTCCGCCCCTCAGAATTTTAAAAAATACAATCTCAACATAATCAACTTTGAGTCTGGGTGATTTCATGAATGTGTCATATGCACACATGTGACCCCTTACTTGAACTGCTAGCTATTTCATAGCCTATGACCTGAAATTTGAGAATTGAAAGTTGATAAGCTTTTGGAGATAACATTGAACAGTAATAGGAACAACAAAGATTTCAGAAGTTCTTTATCACTGTGGTTATCAAAACAAATTATTGAAAGCCTGATAGAGTAACTTTCTACTGCATCTTATACCAAGCAAAACTGAGGCAGATCCTTTTGAATTTCTTTCTTACACTTTCTTCTTTATCGGGACTAAATAATCTTTTATGAAACTCCTCCCTTAACAGATTGTTCATCCCTCCCACATTTCCAGGACCAGGTCTACTTTCCATCTTAGTGATTCATTTGTAAATTGCTAAAAACATCAATTATTAGCCACCTTTCCAATCTAAAGAATAAGGGTATGAGTCACAATTATGTCTCCCTAAGTGGCCAAAAAGTAGCTATCAGATTATCAGCTAAATTTGAGGAATACTCTATTGTCATTATTAAACCAACTGTGTTGGTTTTCTGTGTGATGGTTGAATGCCCAATATGGGAAAAAAATCATTTTAAAAAACTGTTTTGCCTAGGGCAGGTGAGACTCAAGTTCAGTGCTGTACTCAGCCATAGAAGCTTGATGAATGACTTTTAGAAAATTACTCATATTGAGCCTAATTTATTTCATAGGACTGTTATGGGGAAAAATTGGAAGAAGAAATGTCTTTGGTTTCTGGACACAAGGCAAGATTAAAAAATAATCTCATTTAGACTTTTCTTAAATAATACTCTAACTCCACATTTACTCAGTTTTGCATTCTTTTAAATTGATGCTTAGCTTCTGTTCAAGGGCACCATTCCTGATCAGAATATTTGTAGGAGTTGCTGAGAATAAGATATGGATATTCATATTTGGGATTTACTTTCCCAAAGGTTAATAAATAGAGCGTGTGTATGGGGGGGGGTGTTAGAATTCTAGGATTCAGGAAACTAGAGAATTTAATTTCTATGGGCAATTAGGTTTCCTTCTTTATATAAATTTTTTAATATATATAAAACTTGTTGTTTTAATATGTGCTGTACATATGGAGTAGCACCTTCATGCCATTCAACGACAGGTATATGGGGCAAAAGTGGCTATAAAGGATGTGCATTATGACACTTTCAGAGAGAGGAACCTCAGACATTTTAAAAAATTCAAGGAATTCACACTATAAATATTATATTCAATTTCATTTGTTTTGCTTAATCATCTGGTAGTCTGCTGATATCTCAGCTATAATTCTGAAATAGCAGGGCTTTTTTTCTCCCTCTTTTCCACCGCCTTGAGTTTGGACCGGTGCGGGAGTAGTTTGGGATCCTGGCGGGGAAATCTCTTGTCCTTACGTTCATTTTAAACCCTCCCCGATAAAGGCCACACCCTCCCCGATAAAGGCCACGCCGGCCGGGCCTTTTTCCACGGCCTTGCGCCAAGGCGGCGCAAGGCCCTGAAAAAAAGCCCTGTGAAATAGTATTTATTAGTTGGTAGTTCTAGCTATGTTAGCTTTCCTTACTGTTTTATTTCCCTTCCCCCTCCCTTTGTAAATAAAAATTTCATAACTACAGTGAAAAGAATGAGTTTTGGAGAATTCAGAAACCTGAACATTTTCTTGTTTTTTGGGTTGATCCTAATAAGGAAAAAGGTATTGACAGGAATGTTTGTTTTTACCAACCATACCTACTTAAAATTATTGCTAGTCTTTTCATATATTAATATATTTCAGTTGAATGCACTTAGAGCTGCACATTACTCTACACACAAAATTAATTATAAATTGTTAAAATAGAAAAAAATGGTCACATGTATCTGTTCACATTTTATTCACTGCCATTGATTCCCATGATATCTATAAGGCAGAATTAATTGGCTATGCTTTTACAGCTCCCCTGTGGAAGTTTTTTTTAGTGGTTCTGCAAGACACCCTGCCTTTTTAAAAAAGGATTTAAAGCATTTAGCACAGCTGGGTTTCACTATGTATGAAAACTTTTAGAGCATTATAGTGTCACTAATCATCAGCACTGCTACATTTCAAATTTTATCTGTCCTAGCTGCAGCAATGTAGAGATGGTGAGATAATGAAACTCAAATAAATATGTTTTATAAATATATTTGTAAAGTATGCATTGTACAAAAACTTGACTTTTTCCTAATGTTAAAATTATCGTTATGATTCTAAAATATTTTTAATAAAATCCCCTTTATAATGCTGACCAAATTAATTAATGGTGACAATAAAATAAGGAATTTATTACTATAAAGCTAATTACATTAATATAATTTTCAGTGATCTTTATCTCTCAATAAAATACTTAGGATTATGTTGAATTCAGGAATATATTGCAGTCAAGGTTTATAATCATTATAGAGTTTATATTCTAGAAAATGTCACCCTGGGCTTTTTCATATTATTTCTGAAATGATTACTGTTAAACATTGAAATATAGGTTCTGGTAATGATTCAAAAATAAGACAAATGGCAGAAACATTTCAGGTCATTCGCTGGAACATAACATGTGTTAGAGGAGGTTCTTGCCAAAGTTCATGAGTAGCATGTAATTTTCTCATTCATAGATAAAGCATATTTATAGCCTTAGCGTAATCTGATATCAAAAAAAGTATTCAAAAAAAAATTGAGTACTTCTCAGGCATATATACAGTATATATAGAGAGATTCACAGACTGAGAGATGTTCAGATTGTTAAACATGCTGTTCCTCTATCTATGAATGAGGATTAAGGCTGAAGTAAAATGAGCATTCCATTTCCCATCAGTCTAGGACAGGGGTAGGCAACCTTGGCTCTTTTATGATTAGTGGACTTCAACTCCCAGAATTCCTGAGCCAGCCATGCTGAGGAGAAATGGAGAGGTTTCCATGCTGAGCTATGCTGGCTGAGGAATTCTGGGAGTTTAAGTCCACGAGTCATAAAAGAGCCGAGGTTGCCTACCCCTGCCCTAGGGACTGTAATGGGAGGGAAATAGGAGGCTTCATAGTTAATTTCTTCCAGTATCCTACTGCCTTGCCTATTTAGTTTATAGTTTAAGTCCTTAGTTTGCAAGGTTTTATTGATGAAAAATACTTTTGTTCCTAGAGCATCCAACCAAGTCCAGAAGGAAAAAGGCAAAATCAGTATCAGTTGCATGTCAGTGTCACATGGTCCTCCCTTGTAAAACATATAATTTTATTATACTTTACTTTTCTATTTCTCACCTAAGAAATCTGGAACTTTTTTTAATAGAAAGAGTATTAATAACAGCTGTAGAAGAGCAGGCAGAGCTGGGGGCAGAATTAAGAGAGAACTTAGCCTAGAATCATTACATGTCTACAAACACTCTAAATCCACCCCCCTCCCTTGAATTCCATTAACTCTTTTGGTTTGCACCAATTTAGTACTTACCATAATTCTTGTATGTAGGCTTGAGCAATAAATCTGAACTGGAACTTATGTGTGTGATCCTGATTGTTTGTGCCTGACATTTACACTATATTATCAGAGGAAGAAGAGCTGGAATCCATGAAAGAAAGAGTTTTATAACTTGACTTTATTAGAATGACAGTATTACCTGATATAAAAGTCTCATGTTTAAGGTGACTATATACCTATATGCCACAAGATATACCTTCCAGTTGGCTGAGCCTTAAATTCTATTTTGTGGATAGCATTGCTTTTCATTTTGCATTTTTGACTTTTTGTATCTCCTCAGATATCATTTGATTTAGCAGAATATACAGCAGATGTTGATGGAATTGGCACTTTACGATTACTAGATGCTATCAAGACATGTGGTCTCATAAACTCTGTAAAATTCTATCAAGCCTCAACAAGTGAACTTTATGGAAAAGTGCAAGAAATACCTCAAAAGGAAACTACTCCATTTTATCCCAGATCTCCATATGGTGGGTGTATTAATTTCTTGACAGATTCAAAAGGACCTCTTCTAAGTGGATGCAACATCACAATTTTTGAGATTGGAATCCATATTAGACATGTTATTTGTTGGTGCAGTAATTTAAAAGTTTAGCCTATTTGTTTTGAAGGACTTTGGAAAGTTAAAGTCTTCTTCAGGTTGAATTTAATTTCCATTAATGTCATGAATGTATCTGTGTAGCTTTTCTACAGTAGTATGAAAGTGGTATACTAGGGCAGGGGTCCCCAACCCCCGGTCCGTGGACCGGCACCGGTCCCCAGCATGCCAGCAAGCAGGTCGCACAAACAAGCAAAACTTGCGGGATGCCGGCAATATTCAAAACCACACCCCCTCTGGTCCATGGAAAAACCTTTCTCCATGGCACTGGTCCCTGGTTGGGGACCTCTGTACTAGTGTGTCCTCCTGATTTATTTTTTTACTGGAGGTTTCCTATCCGAGCTTCTGAGCCAGGTAACATTGTCCAGATGCTGCCAAATTAAAGGCTTTTGTATAGAATGCCAAAACAAAGGGGTTTTTTTCCTAAAAAGTTCTGTTTTGTGCAGTATTTTATTTTTAATCCATTATCTTAATCTTATCTTCTTGTCCTTATTTGAATTGCAGAAAGACATTTATTTTGTCTGCTTACTATTATTTTAATTGTGGAAATATTTATTTATTGTTTATTGATAAACAGCATTTGCCATTGTATGGGTACTTAATTTTTTTATTTATTTACACAAACTGTACTTATTACATGATTTCTGGTATCATTCATTGCTAGAAATGAGCTGACATTATTTTTCTGTTTTTAATTGTAAAATTTATTTATTTATTTATATCTCTGCCTTTATTTTTCTTTTATAAATAATTCAAGGGTGAGAACTTACCTAATACTCCTTCCTTCTTCCTCTTATTTTCCCCACAAAAAAACCCTGTGAAGTATCCGGGCTGAGAGAATGTGACCAGCCCAAAATCACCCAGCTGGCTTTCAGGCCTAAGGCAGGACTAGAACTCACAGTCTTCTGGTTCCTCGGCCAGCACCTTAACCACTAAACTATATGACAGTGGTGGAGAACCTATGGCACGCGTGCCAGAGGCAGCACTCAGAGCCCTCTCTGTGGGCATGTGTGCCGCCGCCCCAGCCTTGCCTCCCCCCACAGCTCCCTCCTCACCAGCAGTCCCCCCGGAGGAGAGTCACCCCGGGCGCTGCCCACGCAGAGCAGCGCAGCCAAGGACATGGCAGCCTGGGTAGCGGGGACAAGACTCCGCCCTCGCACTCTGTCATGTGCAGATGATGCTACAGGGTGCGGGTGGAGGGTGTGGCCACCATGGTGCTGCTTGGCCGCCTGGGCAATCTGCTGCAGAGGGCTGTGGAGGCAGTGGGTGGCCCTGTGGGCAGGTGGGGCACGGGGTGGCAGGCAGGGCGGGGCTGGGTGGTTTTGGGGCACTCGGTCTCTAAAAGGTTCTCCATCATTGCTATATGATATTCAAGTGATTATTTGAATGAATTTTATTTTATGGCTATCATGCACTCTATAATGAATTAAAGGAGACTTTAAGTATTATAACATTAAAACAAACTGGAATTTCAAACCAACTGAAGTTAAATGCTTCCATGCAACATTGTTTTAAGTAGAGATTCTATAGTGTGATTAAGAATTCTTGTTTAATGCTTAAATATCAGTTATATTTATGATAGGACATGATGAGAAAAGTCTCCTACCACTTTCAGTGAGTGTGGCGGCTATTTTGTTCCACATCCGTTTACATTAACAGAAATTAGAAACATGTCTGAGGCCAGTGTTCTAATGAATTATTTATAAATGATTTTTATTGGCATTTTCTCTTCGGTATGGATGTATGAGTGAATATACTACGTTTTGTAAATATTTCAGTAAATAATTAGAATTATTGTTTCAGGGGCAGCCAAACTCTATGCATATTGGATTGTGGTAAATTTCAGGGAGGCCTATAATCTCTTTGCTGTGAATGGTATTCTTTTCAACCATGAGAGTCCCAGGAGAGGTAAGGAACATGTCTAAAAATTTTCATTACTATTCTAATATATGTCTGAGGAGAAAAACATTTCTGTTTAACTAATTGTTTTTGATAGATTCAACACTCTTTATAATCAAAGCTTTTATATGTAACCTTGAGGTTAAAATGGTATCTAACAGTTCAATGGCAATTAGTTCACACTTTATGGGATATCTTTCATAGTTAGCACAATAAAACAAAATTACCATCTTTAAAATTCTGTAAGATATAAGCACTATTGAGAGAACATAATTTTGAGACTTCCATTTCAATTCTAAAAAATTCCTATGATAAAATTCATGTCTCTCATGAAACCACATCTGGCCTGTCCTATAGAGATTCATTATCTTGGTTGTATATTTTTAATGTCACAAAATGCTTGTGCTGTTTTGCTCAAAGTTCATCAGTTCATAGAAAAAAATAACCAAGGTTTAGATTAACATTCATATTGAATAAAGAGGATATAAATAAAAGTTTTCCAACTTAAACATTTATTTGAGGATAAACGAGAAAAGAGATAAATGGGAGAAGCCAATATTTTGGGAGTGGGCATTTAAAATGGTTAAAATAAAATGAAGTGAAGTTGCTTTTCCATGCCAAATTCTTCCCACTTTCATAGAGTTATATCAAAATACTATCATACACTGCTGTTCATTTATTTTTACTTTAAATAACAGATCCCACTGTTATCAAAAACACACTTTCAGGGTTTTTAAAATGTCCTCAGTTATCCTGGAAAGCCAGACATAGTCTTTTTAAAAGGAAGATAGGAATAATTCTACTTGTCGATGAGTTATAACTTTAAAAGAAGTCTTTTTTGATACAGAAATTAATATGACTGTAATATATTAAAAAAGAAAGATCCCAGTTTTTGGTGTGGTTTCTGATATTTTTAAAATTGAAAATAAGTTGGATTTCCTATGAAAGAATTTTAAGGTCAGATTGCCTCTTTAAAGAGTGGTATGATTTGGGAAAAGAAAAAAGAATTCTGTATTCAATCCTGGTTTTGATCTATAAATCTATAAATCTTTGACATTCTGTCTAATTCTGAGACTAGTAAATATTGTAGCCAGATATTATGTGTATGTGCAAGCACACATATGGTGCACATATATATATACAGTCATGTATACTGTGCATAGTCACAAATAATTATAGTTGTATGCATATATATGTCACTTTTTCTTGTGAACATGAACTCACTTTGAAAAATCTATGTATCTCTGCTTTTTAGAGTATTAAAAGAATCCAAAGAAAAAATAGCTTTGTGCCTAGAGAGCTAATGTGAAAAATCTAATTTTTTAATTCTGCAAACAATGCTGAAATAACTATATAACAGGCCAGTCTTTCACTCTCAGCCCTAGACTGGGAAGGAAGTAAAGAAAAAAAAAACTTCCAATCCACATTGAGCTGAAATAATAGATTGCAATCCATGACCTGAATGATTTGGGTTAATAGCAATAGCATTTAGATTTATATACGCCCCATAGCACTTTACAGCACATATTGGGCGGTTTACAGTGTCAGCATTATTTGCATAGTACCCCCAACAATCTGAGTCCTCATTTTACCAACCTCGGAAGGATGGAAGGCGGAGTCAACCTTGAGCCCCATCAGGATTGAACTCCAGGCTGTGGGCAGAATTTGCCTGCAATTCCACTTAACTATTGCACCATCAGGTTTCCTCAGTTGTCAATAACTGACAAATACTGTGAATCTCTTCTTAACAGTACCTTCCTTTCCAGGACTTACAGAAAGGTTCAACCCTCTTTGCTTATGTAAGTTTCTGAATATCTGTTTCAAGGCCATCTCTGCACTACCAATATTGGCCATTGTGTCGAACTAATTTATATATGCAACAGAAAAAGAAAGGAAATCCTCAGCACATTGATCAGTTTAGAGATCTATAAGTCTTGCATAGCTTTTCATTCTGACTCGCTTTTTATATCACTTGAAGTTATTGTACATCAGTCAGAGACAAAGATAATCATTTAGAACATCTTAAATACTTTATGATAGAAATGTTATTGCTAGCTTTTTCATGAATTATATGTCACTTTAAATTTCTTCTAGAACTAAAATTACTTTCCTCACTTTATAATTTAATTTTACTAATACAATTTAAATATAAATAATAACTAGATGCCGATTCTTTAAATAAAATTCACTGTTTCTACTTATATTAACTTTTTTCCAAAGGTTAGAATCAAATGGAAAATACCAGCTTTTCTATATTCTAATATTACTTTAAACATGATAGTTAAAGTTTAGAAAATGTATATTTATATTCCATGAATGAGAAATAATACATAATTATGCTTTATTGAACATACATAAATTAAAATTAAAATGTTGAAATCCATTGGGAGTTAAATTTATTATCATGCAAGTGGACTTTCTTTCTTCTCTCTTCTGCCTATCCTGCATCATTTCCAGTTCTGCCAGGAACATAAAGCATTATCAGAACTCCGTAAAAAACCTAAATGATCCCTCTGGTAATATTTAAGAGAATCCTCTATCACTGAAATTTTCCTAGAGTATATAAAAGAATCAGTTTGAACTTGTTTCTGTTTTTTAATGTAATAAATAGGCATGAACATTTTTCCTATTTTTTTAATGCTCCCTTGAAAAATCTTGAATGTCTTTCAGTAAATTGCATTTCACTGCCTCCTTTTACTTTTTTTTTTTTTACATTTAGAGCTAGCTCTCATATATTAAACATTTTAAAAGACTCATAAAGCAGCTTTTCAAGTGTCCTAAAGTAGAAAAGGAAGGTAGTTTCCTGGAAAGCATTTAATCTTTTCCATTACTCTATGCAGAATTGGTTGTTAGTTTAGTAAAGTGTTGTTAAAGCTTCAAACAAACGTTTTCAGTTTTTTTATGAGAGGGAAATATTTTTCTTAAATGTACTGTAACATTTATTAGATTTAATAAATGAAACCTATTTAAATAATTGTTAATGTTATGTTATTTAAAGCAAGAAGTACGAATACTAACATCTGAGATTGTAGTTACAGGCTTCATGTATCTTACTCTGTATAACTATATTATTATAAACCTTAGTATAGGGAGCATAAAAAATAATCAAGATCAAAGACTCACTTTGAAAAATGACTTATTGCTTTTTAAGGGGGTGTTGTTAGGACTCATCTACCAGGAGGCCAAATATTTTTACCAAGTGATACAATTGCACAAAACTTTTAATTAGATATTCTTATCTCTTATCCTACTTTGAGTAGGGAGGGATTGAAGGAAAAGAAGAGGACAAGGGACACAGTTATGGTAGTGGTAGCAATGACTGCACTGTTGGAAGACCTGAAAGACTACTTTAGGGATAGGTTGTCATGGGGGAAAAAATCTATCTATTTTGTCATTAGGAGTTGAAAATACCTTGATGGCATATAAACAATCAGTCAATCAAATCTTAAAGCCCAAGAACTGGATCTATTCAACATCTGGTTCAAGATTGCAACAATTTTATTAAGGTGGCAAATGTATTACTAATGTTTTTGTTTATTTTTTTACATTAGTTATTTCAAGATAAAGTTCACTTATGCCCATAATTAGTTAGTTGCTTTGGATTCAGATATATATGTTGTGTAATTCATCAGTAGTATGTGGGAATAGTAAGTATGAACTCCTCTTCCTAACATTTTCAATTTTCCCTGAAGAAGTAACGATTGCAAAATGAAAGTTGTAATTCATCCAAGTAGATCCGAGTTTCTAAAGATCATTGCAATTTATATCAACCACAAGAACACTAAACAATCAGCCAGTATATTCCCCATGATGTGCCTGCTTACTCTCTTGTAATTCTTTACTATCCAATCTCTCTACTCTGCAAGAGGGAGAAAAACAAATCAGGCACAGAAGAGATTGCCTAAAGAAATTGCTTGTTTAGGCAATCTCTCCATTCTCGGGGGGGGGATTGGTCAGACACAGGACAGTGTATATCAATTGACTGTAATGATGAACACATAATTGAGAGAGAAACACTGAAGGCTGTAAATGCACACCTTGGTTGCAAAGTTATTTTTTCAGCATTGTCACAATTTTGAACGGTTGCTACCCAAGGCTAAGCAAGGTCTACCTGTATTCTAAAGTCATTTCCTATAAATAGAGCCTACTTTTATGTACAAGTCTACTTTATATAACTAACTTAATAAATCTGTATGCAAAATAACTAACTTTTCTAACCTCGTTAATCTAAGTTCTTTGCCTTTAAATGGCATCATCAAGAGGATAGAACTTTACTTCGGGGTAATTCTGCTTCAAATAATTGCAAGAAGTAAGGATGATTGCTGTGCCTTCTTTGACATATGCACATTTATGCACTGACAAGATTCTTCAGTCATTTGACTGTTGCCTTATTTTATATTGTGTTTCTGGAAACTTAATGCTTGAAATAATTTTTTGCCTCAAATAAATTATTCTGAACACCGAAGCTTCCATCTTTGGCTGCTTTCAAAGAAAGATATTTATTGAGGAAGCAGAGCTCATGTGATTGATGTACTGGTAGTCGTGTGATAAAGAAAGATCAAACTGAGGTGATTGAAACAAGGAGAGCAGTCTGAAAAGATTGTCATAATCTATATTTTTAGGATTAATTATAGGATATGTATCGGATAATTTTTAATTTCCTTATTTCATCTTTTGTCTTTATTTTAGGAGCCAATTTTGTAACTCGAAAGATAAGTCGTTCGGTTGCTAAGATTCATCTGGGACAATTGGAATGCTTCAGTTTGGGAAATTTAGACGCCAAGAGAGACTGGGGTCATGCCAAGGACTATGTTGAGGTATGTGATTGCTAAAATGCCTACTTTAAAACAAGACCGTTGTGGGGCTTATTGCAATAACTTAAAAGTAAAAGTATGGCCTGAAGGCATCTGCTTCTAAATCTAGCTTTTCTCCCTGGCTGCCTGAAGAAGACATAGGATGCTACTATATGCATAACCTGAACATATAAAGAAGGTTTTCAGGTTCACATTCCTTATTAAATTCCTGTGGGAAGGAGTAAAAACCAACAGACCTCTTCTGCCTCAACAATATATTGTTTCTTTGAGCTCAGAAGACTGAAGTGCAGTGAACTTTTTTGAGATCCTGTCTATATTGTGGAATCTTCTTATAGTAATGAGAGAAACAAGGCTAATGTTAACCTCAGAAAACATTCTAATTCTGATGTGGTTGTAATATTGTTAATGTTTAATATTTTATTCATGTTAAAACCATTCAAGAAAAATTGTTAACGTGGCCTATATAAATATTGTAGAGTTTATATTTTCTTTAAAAAGTCACCTGTGCTGAATAGTTTCTTTTTTCTGATCTATTTTCATATGATTATGAAAATTTTTGAAGTTCTATATTTCTTCAATAACTATATAGGTGTATGATCAGAAAATGAATAACATATACAGTATGGTCCACAATATATCTATAGAGATCTAATTGCAAAAGCTGTCATTAAAGCAATTAGGAAAGCATAGTTTGTTATCATATAATTTGTATTTTCATATCTAGTCATGTCAACCGAAATAATCTGGCTGTGAGAAGTATCTCTTAGAGATGTACAACATATTTTAAAAATATAATTAATAATAATAACTGTTACTATTAATCCAATTTGTACAGAAGATCTGCTCAGAACAGATCTTTTAAATCTTTCGCTGCTTGCCCTTCTAATTATCTTTACAAATGTGGCATCTGTCTATATGATTCTACAGGTATAAGTGATTAGATAAAATAACCTAACCATGATTTCTAAAAAAAATGACACTGAACATTGTGTTTCAAAAATTATGTTTGAAATGATCTTATTTATGTCACTTGGTTGGGACAGAACTAGCATGCTTAATCTCAAGTTATAGAAAACTATGGAACAATATTTCTGTTAAAATATTATATTCTAAGCTTTGGATGTTGTACTTGGAACATGCATAAGCCTTGCAAGTAAGTTTTATCCATTATCCTGTATTAATTTAAAGTGGAACATTTAAAATTAACTGAATTACTGGCAAATGGATAATTTCAAACGTGTATTATTAAGTCTAGCAAATTGTACAATAAACTATTGCACAGAAATATATTGAGATTTGATAAGCTTCTTCAGTTCTCCTAACAACACTCTTTGCAGCCTAAACTTTCTTATAATATAGAATGTATAGAAGTTCTTTTCAACATAATAATTTGTTTTGATAGAGTAATGCCAGTGGAAATTTTAGATGAAAATAAGAATGCATTTTATTTAGCAGCTAGTTTCCAAATGTGCTGGCCACCAGATAAAAATATATTCTGCTGGTATTTTCACAAGGATCACACACTGGTAATGTAAGTCACATTCTAGTTTTTTCAGGTATTTGGGGATTGTCACAAAATTGTTCTGACATAATTCTTAACTGTGCTGGACATCATCTTGAATGTTTCCCCAGAGATTAATTTTTCTGCTTTTGTTAATTTCATGAGACCCTGAATTTATGCAATGCAACTAATTGCCATCTATAAGGAAAAAATTGAAAATAGAAATAAATAACCATTTCAGAATTTAATGGATGGAAAACAAACCTCCAAAATTTGATAGTGAATGTAATTTCAGAGTGTGAAGTTGCAGAACTGTGATATATTTGAGAAGAAATTTAGGAAAACTAAGCCAACCACGGCATTCCTTGTATTTACAGTACAGCTTGCTGCAAGCAATTTGATTTTCAGCAGATGTTCAATTTTCTTTCATTGCTGGGTGATATATAATAAAGGAGGAAAAAGAAACCACCTTTCTCCTCCTAACCATGGAAAGAAAGGGCTGATGGAGAGAAAAATAAATCTGCCAATAAATCTGATGGTCTGAATGTGTCTTTTTCACATTGCAATGGGAAAGAAATTGATTCAGAGATGTAAGGGGAGAGGGGAGTATGGAGAAATGAGTATGGAGAAATGATGATGATGATGATGATGATGATGATGTCAATTGCAAAAGGCGGCCTTACTAGGAACTGCTTCCATCCTGCGATGATATCTGTAATACAAACAAACATCCACATCTGCCTATCCCAGGTCCTTGGTAGGGACTCAATAGGTAGACAAAAATGCCAAATCCAGTCTGAACATCTGGCTGACTGTGCGATGATCAATAATAACAATAACAATAACAATAACAATAATAATAATAATAATAATAATAATAATAAAGTTGAAAGGGACCTTGGAGGTCTTCTAGCCCAACCTCCTCCTCAGGCAGGAAACCCTATACTATTTCAGAAAAATGGCTGTCCAGTCTCTTCTTAAAAACTTCCAGTGTTGGAGCATTCACAACTTCTGGAGGCAGGTTGTTCCATTGATTAATTGTTCTAACTATCAGGAAAATTCTGCTTAGTTCTAGGTTGCTTCTCTCCTTTATTAATTTCCACCCATTGCATCTTGTCCTGCCCTCAGGTGCTTTGGAGAATAGCTTGACTCCCTCTACTTTGTGGCAACCCCTGAGATATTGGAACACTGCTATATTTTTCTATCTTATCAAGCAGTAGGTTGTGGTCTACTTTATCAAATACCTTACTGAAGTCTAAGTAAATGATATCCACAGTATTCTTCTGGTCCACTAATTTTGTCACCTGGTCAAAGAATGCAATAAGGTTTGTCTGGCATGATCTGTTTTTGACAAACTCATGTTGGCTTTTGGTTATGATTTAATTTGCTTCTAGGTGTTCACCGATTCATTGCTTGATTATCTTTTCCAGAATCATCCCAACTATTGAGGTCAGGCTGATAGGTCTGTAGTTTTCTGGATCTATTCTTTTTCCTTTTTTGAAGATGGGAACTACATCTGCTCTTTTCCAGTCTTTTGGTAGTTCACTGGTGCTCCAGGATCTTTGAAAGATATAGTTCAGAGGTTCTGAGATCACATCTGCCAGTTCCTTCAGAACCTTGGGGTGTAATCCATCTGGTCCTGGTGATTTGAACTCATTTACCATTTTCTTGCCTATTTTAACTTGTGTTTTTACGGTATTGTTTTTGATAGATTGGACTGTTTCTTTCCTTTGTGTAAAGACGGATGCAAAAAACAAGTTAAATAGTTCTGCTTTCTCCCTGTTGCTTGTCACCTTCTTGCCACCTTCTCCCATTAATGGACCAATCATTTCCTTATTTTTTTTAATATATATATATGTTGAAATAAGCTTTTTTTTTTTTTTTACTTTTGTTGCAAGCCTTAGTTCATTTTGAGCCTTAGCTTTCCTCACTTCATCTTTGCAGGCTCAGGCTATTTGCTGATATTCTGCCTTAGTTATGTGCCCCTTTTTCCACTTTTTATACTTGTCCTTTTTATCTTTCAGTTTATCATAGAGTTCTTTATGTAGCCATGCTGGTTTCTTTTGTGAGCTGTTATTTTTCTTCTTCATTGGTATTGTGCTAGACTGGGCTTATAGACTGGGATGAAAACAAATTGTATGATACTTTGAGTGGATGGATGAATAAGAGGACAGGGGGCATTGCTATGTGTGCAGAAGGGAAGAAACATGGTTGAGGTTAGATAACCCTCTAATATCAGTGACAATTGTTTGTGTAGTGCATATGCACCATACTGAGATTGAAGAAATATGGTGCAATTATATTTCTACTTTTTCTTGGCTTTGACCCTCTCCGCAACTATATAAGCTGTAACTATTTTCCCAGAGAGAATGTAACCTTGAATCCAAAAATGTTGTCCATATTCTGCAGTAAGCTACAGTATGACTATATAAGCAGCTGAATGGGCAGTATGGATTGATAAATATGTTTATTAAAAGTAAATTAATATTAGTAGAAACAGTTATACACTATAGACTATATTTTATTCAATATGATGCCAAACTGCAGGTAACCTAGATGTAAGTTTGAGATTAAGCAAAATAATCAAATATAGCAAGAATTTTTGTGTCTTGCTTTGTTCTATAATTTCTTTTTATTTGGGGTAGCAATAAGCCGTCTGTAGATACATGTTAATACTTACACAATAGTAAGTACTTAGTAATAAATTAGTCATTTCACAATAAGAAGAAGAAACATTAGATATTTATATACACACATTCTTCTTTCTGCCCCTGAAAATCATTTTCTTGGAACAGTGAGAATGTCCTTAATGATTCAATATCATCTTTTAATGTTTCTTAACAAAGAAATACTGCTAATAATGCCAACATTTTGAATGGATAGCAAGGACATGCTGTTTCTAAAGGTGTAATGAGATTGATTGCAGTTAGGCAAGGTTGACAGGAGAAAAAACATTAGGTTCATGGTCTAGAGGTGACAGTGTAGGCTGAGATAAGTCTGAAGCAGAGCTATCCTAGTCATCATCTGTTTTTTCTGTTCCTAGAATTTATTCTTTCCATCCCATTCCTGGTAACAGAAATAAAATATATTTAAATAGACACTTTAATCAACTCAGTATTTTTAATTAACATATTGTATATTAGGAAGTATTTCTCAAATATATGGGGAACAGTTCTCAGTGTCACTTCTTTTCAGTGCATGCTGTTGCTTCTTGCTCTTTCAATTTTATTGTCAAATGAATAATAAAGTATAGTTCACCTTACTCACCTATAAGGTTTTTGGATATATTTTCTAGCCTACTTACAGTACAAATCATTGTTATTAAATTAAATCCATAATATAATGGATTTTTATGTAATAATTATGAATGTGTGTGGGATTTGTGCCTTCAAGTTACTGCTGACTCTCGTGCCTGCCAGGACTAGCCCCGGCTAAGGTTTTGGAAGTAGTTTGATATTGCTTTCTTTCTAGAGCTGAGAGAAAGCGTCTGGCAGGTACAAAG